AACCATCCTTACTTTTAAATGTAGCACATTTTCTTGCAGCTGGGCGGTTCCCTCAGCCAGCTTCCTACCAGTCGGAGACTGGGAGTTCAAGTACATCTCCTCATTCTGAGTCTTGATCTGATAATCTTTCTGCATATATACACCTTTTAAAAACTTTGTGGGTTTCCTGTGAACCTCTTTATTTTATTAGATTAAATCCAGAACACTGCTGTGAAAATTTGGTCTAAAGATACAGCCAAAGATGTGACTGTAAAATAATTGGTTTTCTGAAATCTTAAAAAAGTATATATATCTTACAGTCATACCTTTGGCTTTTATCTTCAGACCAAATTTTCCTAGCAGTGCCCAGGATTAATCTTGGTCCAGAAGTCATCACTTGCATTCTAGCATTGTTGTATTTAGAGAGACTGAGGATATTTAAAGCCATCATCAGTTCTTGGCTCCTATTTGTTTAATGGTCCCTTCCCTGCCCCAATTGATCGTCTCCTCCTTGGTTTTACTAAGCAACAAGAAGGCTGTATCAACAACACTTTGCTTGGAAATCTATTAGATGACACAGATTAGTGGGCACATATTTTAATTTCCACATAGCTTCAGGAAGAGTTCAGCTAAGTTCCTCTCACCACATACTCACAATGCCCCTTCCTCCAATTCCCAGTAATATTTTCCTCACTTTATTGTAATGTCTCACTCACAGTGTCCTTAATATCCAAAGTTGTGCACTTTGACCTCCCTAACACCCTTCTCATGGCCACCGATGGATTCCAAAGCCATGCCCCAATTTTACAGTTTTGGGGATGGCTGCTCGCTACTTCCACATACCAAACTGGATTTCAGTTATCCATTTAGGCAGCAAAAAAACAAAAACAAAAACAAAAAACAAAAAAAAAAAACCCCAAAAAACAAAAGTTAGCACATGGAAAGACGAAAGCAAACTTTTGTTATCTTACAGCATCTATTATTTATGAGTAGCCAGTAGCAGCTTACACGGCTTGTTCTGGCTCAGGTATCTTAGGGATGAGCAGAGTGTAGTCAGCTAAGGCTTCACTGAGGAGGATCCCTTTCTGGGGTTCCTCGCAAGGCTGTTGGAAAGCTTCTGATGATCTTTCTCTAGGCTCATTCACATAGGTGTCGCCACAGGATTGCTTCCTGTTGTGGCAGCTAGCTTCCCCCAAAGCAAGGAATCCAATAAAGATGATCTGAATCGAAGTCACAGTCTTTTTATAACCTAATTAAGGAAAGGCACTCCATCACTTCTGCCGTACTGTTCACTAGAAGTTAGAGTCCAGCCCACATTCACAAGGAGACCTTATACCAAAACCTGGGAATCTTTGCAGGCCCATTTTAAAGACTGTCTACTATAGTAATTAGAGTATGAATAGTATACTATTTTTTTGTGTGTAAGAAAAACAGAAATAGAAACACTTTTATATCTTTCCTTGTGTCATCAAAAAGAAACAATGGACGGATAAACCTAAAACGAATAAAAATGGTTTCCTAAAAAGAGAGGTAGAAAACAGAGAGGAAGGGACAAAAATCAGAACTATATTTCCCCACATGTCTTATTTTGTAGGTATGACTTTGGAAATGTATAACTATTTTATATAATACAAATCTCAAAAGAAAAGAAACAATCCTTAAATATGGGATCAGCCAACCTGGTGATTAAATTGGAAACATCCATAAAAACTGAGAATTTTTCTCTTTTGAAATATCTTTCTAAAATAAAGTATTTCATGTCTTTGTAACTGAAAAGCTTAGAATCTGTAGCAAAAATAACATCCTAGTAAACCAGATTATGGGAACTGAATTTCACTTCCCATTAAACAAACAATGGTTCCTAGGGAGAATAATGGATTCCAGGTCTAGAGTTGGAAATGTACAAGATGAACCTGGGATATCTTGTGATTGATCACAACAAAGCTATTAAGGTCCGTGGGTACCTGATGACAACACTAAGACGACAATTGAAGCCAGCTCCTTCTGGGTAAAGATGGGGCACTTGAAATATCAAAAAGAACAAAGGCTCTGATGCATTGAAATGAATCATGTATGTCCAACTGCATTTTTATGATATTCCTAAGGAAGAAAGGTATCCTTTTGTGTTGGCTTGAACACGTTTAATATTTCTAAAAAATGATTGATAAGGGTTAAGAATCAAGCATATTCCCTGCTTTTCCTATAAGGAATCTATTTCAAGACTATCCTGTATTTTGCAAAGGAAAGTTTTGTTTTGTAAGATAGTATCTTATAAATTCAGGTATAAAATCAAATTAGAAAATCACAATTTTGCAGTCCTTAATGAAATAATGCACCAATGCAATCATCATCCATAGCTGAAAAAAAACCGTTAGGTAGAAGTCTGGTGGAGAATTTTAGAATGGATGCATCAGGCTGACGATACTTGAACGCTCTAATCAATGGGGCGGTCAAACATTTTGTTGTTGATGTGATTTAGTTTGATATATACAGTACCTCTTATGAATTATTCTTGAAAAAAAAAGAATGTGCTCAAATTTCTAAGTCCTGTTACTAGTTAACAGGAAGTCTGAGACTTAGGTGACTACAATAAATAATGCCTTGTGGATACAATCAATTGTATACACACACACACACACACACACGCACACACACACACACTGCTCTATCAGAAATTTAAGAAGCCAAAGTAACTGTAGGAGAGCATTTAAATCATATTAGGGTGTTGTAAAGGCCTACGTAAGTACATAAGCAAAGGCATAATCATTATATAATTATTAAAAGCCAGATTTATGAAACATACCTGACCTTTAAGTAAGCACGGAGATTACTATCAGGAAAATTAATCTCCGATTTCAAATACCTCACAATTGACCTGTAGAAACATTATTGCATAAATTACGGGAAAAGTTAGTGGCCGTGGAAATCACTGTAGACCCAAAACCAATCTGGAAATGGTGTCTCTGCAACCCAATGTCTCAGAGTCTCAGTTTCCTCATCTATGAAATGACAAGTAGTTTTTGCTTAACACAGGACGTGGTAAGAGGACTGAAGGAAAGGTATTTAAGGCATCTGCAAATCTGAATCAGCCTTCATAGAAGGAAATCATAGTCCCCTAATATATGGAACAGCAACAAGCAAATGGAACAGACAGACAATATACTCCAGGTACTTGGAGGAAGGAAATCACAGCAAGTCAATAGGTTTATGCAAATTTCCTGGGAGGTCAGAGCTTGAAGCTATTCCTGAATGACAGCCTCAGACATCTGTCCGTGTGATTCTATTTGCCCAGCATCTGGTGCGGTGCGGGGATGATAGTCCAAACCAATGTTTGCTACATAATCGAATGGAGAGGAAGGGTATGCTGTTGAAGCAAGCTAGGATTGGTTATACCAGTGCGTTATACCGGCTCTAGATGAAAACTCTTGCTACTGATGGTACAAAAATCAGCTCTGGGGTGCCTACTTGATTGCGGTCAGGGGCATAGTACTTTGACCTTTAAGATTTCGTAATTTTCCTCCCCTCAATCAAGGAGTTTCCTTTTACTATTAAAATTAGTATGTTTCCAAGAGGGCTAAGAAAATTTTACAGAAAACATGGGAACACACTGCTCGCTTATGGAAAGTGGAATTAAGCATAATCTTTTGAACTTGTATCAAATATAGGCTATAAATGAAGGAGCCATTTATAAAACGTTCAATTTTTTTTTTTTCTTAAAGAGAAATACCCTGAGCTACTCGGTACTAAATAGTCTTGCTTATAGCAAACCCCCATACACTGCCTCCAGCCAGAATGCAATACTCCCTGTTCTTCCTCGCATCTTATAAAAACCACACAATTTTTAAATTAAAATTTCCTTGCACTAGGGAACAGCCTACTTTTAAATACCAAGCGTTCTTATGTAAAGGGGGGAAAGTTGTCCACCGTGTTGATTTGTACAAGTTGAACATTTCGATAAATCATTTGCGCCCCCCGGGAATGGTCTCCATTCTCCTTAAAGGAGGAAAAGCCACGAGCCACTTCGAGGCGTAGTTAGCCGAAACGTGTGCCCAGCGCGGGGCACGCGGGTCCTGCCGCGGCTGCTCGGCGCGAGGACGCCGGCTCGCGCGCCCGCCTCCCCGGCAGCAGGGGATTAGACACATGCGCACGGTCGGTCTCTTTGTGTGCGCCAGGCAGGGCTCGGCGTCGATGCACGCTTCCCAATGGGGCAAAGACCCGGAACACGAGCATGTGCCCGGGAACAAACGTGCACGTACACAAGCCCCCTGGCAGAAACCCGTGTCTCGCTCCCGTTTGCCCTCTCCTCTCTGGGGGGCACCCCACCGCCCGTTCCCCGGTGCCCAGGTGGGGAGTGGACACGGAGAGCCCCGGAACGAGGAGCCGTGTCCTCAGGAATCCCGCACCCGAGACAGCGACGCGGGCAGAGGGCGCCGGGGGTGGGGGGTGGGGAGCGCGACCCGGGGCGCGGGAGGCGAGAGGTCCCCGCCCGAGCCGCCGGCGATGGAGCGAGTCTCGCGCGCATCTCTGAGCGCAGCCACCCCGCGGGGCCGGGGGTGGGGGGTGGGGGTGGGGTGCGGAGGGAGCCCGGCCGCCGAGTCGGCCCGCCCCCCCCGCCCCTCCCCCCGCGCCGGGGAGCCGCGCCGGTGCGCTCCGGCCAGCTGTGCGCCGCCGAGCGAGGCGCCAGCCCGTGGGTGCTGCCGGGGGCGGCGGCGCGGAGGGGGCGCCCGCAGCTGGCGGCGGCGGCGCGGGCCCGGCGCTCGGCTCGCGGCGGGGGGCGGAGGTGAGGACCGGAACGCGGAGGGCGGGCGCTGCTCGCGGCGCCGGGCCCGCGCTCCCCGTCCGCGGCCGCCCTGCCGGCAGCCCGCGTCCCCGCCGGCGGGAGCTCGGGGGACCGGGCGGCGGCGCGGCTGTGGCGGCGGCTGGCTGGATGCGAGACCTGCGCGGACCCGGCGGCGGCGGCGGCGGCGGCTCCGGACGCCGGGAAGCCGATCGCGGAGGGGAGCAGCCCGAACGCGCTGGCCATGGCCTCCAACTTTAACGACATAGTCAAGCAGGGCTACGTGAAAATCCGCAGCAGGAAGCTGGGGGTGAGTGGCTCGCTCGGCTTTCTCCTTCCCCGGCTCGCGTTTGGCGCGGCTGGCTGGAGGGGGGGGGGGGCGGGGAGAGGTGACCCGCGCGGGGACAGGGGCGAAGGGGGACCCGGCCCCTTCGCAGACAGCCCGCTTGTTGCTCGGCGGGTGTGGGGGCCCGCACCTGCCTGGGGGGCCGGGGGGGGGTCTCTGCACAGCGGGAGCGCCGCGGCCCCCATCCTTCTGTGCGCGGTGCCGGTTTGGACCACACCGAGAAGTCGTGCACACGGAGGGGATGGTCAGGTCGGGAGATGCACGCGCCTCGCAGGGGGGTTTACACACGCGCAGCCCCTGTGTTCCGCTCTCCGAAGTGCGCCTTGCGGGGGGCAATCGCTGGCCGCGCGGGGGCTGGACGGACGCGCCCGCGTGTGGGTTTGGAGTCACCATTTCCCGGTCCCTGCTCCCCGAGCCCGTTCCGAAATTCTCCTCCGACGCCCCAGCAGGGCCGCGCGTCCCCGTCGGCGACGGCCCGCGAGTTTCGGGCGCCCGGCGGCCGCCCCCCGGCCGTGTGCGCGCCCGGACAGGTGTGCCTACGCCCGTGCGCAGGCAGGTGTGTGCTCGCGGCCGCTGGCGCGGCAGCGTTCGCGGCGCAAAGTTTCCGGAGACCTCGTTGTAGTTGTTCCGTGAAAGCTGCTCTGCCCGACTCGGGGGAGAAACCGTGTAGACCCCCCGGGGGTTCGGAAGTTCTCTAGTGACCAGACGAGGAAGTGAGAGGGACCCGGGAGAGGAGGGCCGGCCCTTGGGCTTGGCGGGCGTGGGCGGGGGGGGGGGTGCTGGGAACCACGCGCAGGGGTCCCGGTGTGGCAGCGGGCAGCGCGCGCCCGGAGGGGCGCCACCCGGAACGACCTTGGCGCGCCGGCCCGGAGCGGGAAGGGGAACCCGCCGTGGGGGCGAAACAGCCGCTTTCCCGGATGCCCTCGCTGTTCTCGAAGTTACAGTTCTGCGAAGCTCCGGGACCCTGGGGCCAAGCGGCTTGGACCCAGAACATTCCCCGCGTCCCCTGCTGACTGGATGAATCCTCCAACTTGGAGAGGGGAAGTGAGGAGGGAGAAATTCACTCATTTTCTCACTTAGAAAGAAAGAAAGAAAAATAACCCTAAGTATAGATTAGAAAAATTGAGCGAAGAGAGGGCAGAACACCTAAAAGCCCCGAAAGAGGAAGCGTCCCTGCGCACCCAGGAGTCGTCTCTCTCCGGAGTCGGACGCAGGTGCGGGGCGCACGGGGAAGGGAAAGGGCGGCCTGTGTGTCTGCGCTGCCTTCTTCCGGGGCGCAGGTGCAGACAGAGCCCCGAGGAGACGAGGGACCCGGGCCCGAACGTCGGCCGGTCTGCAGGCGCGGGGCGTACCTCGCCGGGGGACCGCGGAGCCTCCCCCGCGCAGCCGGGCGCCCCCGGGGCGCGCCCTCGGGTTGCAGGGGCCGCTCTGGGGCGGAGGTTTAGTTGCGCCCCGTCCTTTTCCCGCGAGGTGGAGGAACCCACGTGCAGAACTGCAGTGGTCCGGGGGCTGCCGGCTTCTCGCCGCCGGGACGCGCTGCTCGCACCTGCCACCCGCACAGCCGTCGGGCGGGCGAGCGAGAGCCTGGGGGCAGAACCATTTTGGGGACTTGACCTTTGAAGCCCTTTGCTCCCCCGCGGGGTGCCCGGTCATCATTCTCGCTCCTTCCGTCTTCTTGGAATCTCGGTTGCGTCTGACACCGCAGACGTTATAAGCTAACGGATGATTCAGGTGCCCCGGGTAGAGGTGTATCCGTTCACAGAGTCGCTGTGTGCTTGAGAATGAGGCTAAGAAAAATCACCCTGAGGACCCTGCTCTTTGAGCTGTTGGCCCCCCGGGGTCTGTAGGATTCCTCTCCCCTTCCCAGCTTTCCAGAAATCCTACAACAAAAAATGGAATATGCAACCTAATTAAAATATAGGATCCCAGAAAAGAGCATTGCTTGCTTCCTGGGTAACCCCGTGGCGTTAACAGCCTTTGAAATGTCCTTTGACAACACCATTCCTCTTAAAGGTGTGTGCAGATGTGTTTGCAGTCCCAAAGCATCCCTTTCCATACTCGCTGCTTGGAGATAAGCCTTTGTAAAAGACACCCTTCAGAGAAAACAGTAAAAGCAGATTTATATGTAGGTTAATTGCTTTTGTCTTCCATTTCTGCTTGAGAAATGTGAACTTAAGAGTTTGGTGTTGAAACACTTTTGGTTTTAATATTAAATCGAAACGTTGAACTAAATTAACCTTCACTATTTTGAAGAATGGTATTAAAAACTATAGAGACTTTCTATTCAGAATATTCTAGTATTCAGATGGGTGAATTCACCTGACAAAACTTCCCATAGATGGTTCTGTGAAAGTAAGTTAAGTTTGTCTCATAAGATAGTAAAACTTGAAGCAAATAAATAAGACAAGTAGTATCCCAAATCATAGAAATAGAACTTATCTAAACATTAAAATTTAATTTTCATAGCTAATAATACATATTACTAATATCATGGACTCAGAAGTATGGACTTTTCCAAAGACAATAATACTTTGAATTCACATGATACGTAACGATTCTTTTATGGCTTATTTTCAGAACTGAATATCAAAATAAAAAGAATTCTAATGAAATATGCACAGATATTTGATTTTTGATGTACAGAACTTGTGCTTTCAAGAACCAATTTTTATAACAATTTAAAGGGAAAAAAGACCCCTGGGCATGAGGCCAGTGGTATCAGAGATTATTATGACATGAAAGCATATTTGAGATGAAATGTTCTATCCTATTCTTTTCTCCTTACTAGTTAGTGTTCCCTATTGTGCGGAATGAGGGCAGAAAAGCACTACTTGACTTCTGGGCTGGGGGAAAAGCCTGATCCAGGCGCTTCCAGAATGAAAGTGTTAAAAGGGCCCTTGCCTTGTGTCTTCTTAGAGAATCTAGTGCTCCCTGTAGGGGGTACTGCCTCACCCAGTTATTGAAGTGAAGTAGTAAGTGTTGAACAGTTTTTTGAATGTTTGCTTTGGAATTTGCCTCGAGTCACTAGTTAGCTTACCTTCCATTCAGGAAAATAATTTTGGAAAAAAAATAGTCTAATTATCCCAAATTTTATTCTTATTCTTTAAAAATGTGTTTATTCAATCATTAAATTTTTAAAGGTATTCAATCATTAAACAAATAATGACATGACTCAGAGTTATGTCTTTATAGTCTATGTCAATTTTTCATTATAACATTTCATAGTTTCTTTGAATATATTGTTTTCCTTTTGCATGATTGAAAAGCCTTTACAGTAGTTGTTTCCTTTGCTCTCTTCTATGCTGCATGATTGGTATTATAATTCACAAGGTGCCATAGTGATCAGTATTTTTTAATAAAAGGTTACTTAAGAACACTAATAACAATAAAACAAAGCAAAAGTATGTTGGTCAAAATTGTTTACCTCTTAGCTCTTATTGTTTCTTTTGGACCGCTGAAAGATTAAATTTAGTCAGCAAGGCATATATTATAAAATATCCAACCTATTCTTGGTTTGCAGATAAACTAAGAACTCAACCACTGAAACCATGAAAATAACTTTATACTTGACGTGCTGACTCGATATCGTAGCAAAAGTAAATGCGGCCTTATCAAGGGGTCAGCACCCCTTTCATTAACATCGCTGTACAAATTCCAGACTGCCACGGTTTGACTAATTCTAGACTCAGCCCTCACATCATTGTTCTCAAGGAATTCTGTTCCAATACATCAGGGAGAATTTTCACAGGCACATTGGGCACAAATAAATAGTATTTACACAAATTGTTTTTTGTTTGTTTCTCAAAGTCAGGTCAGGAGTTGGTGGTGGTTTGTGTGGGTATCAAAGAAGTGTCTCGAAATACGGTTGGCATTGGCGCATTCAACGAATAATCAAATATTATGGAGGATCTACTGTTTATGAGATTGTGTGTGTGTGTGTGTGTGTGTGTGTGTGTGACTGTGAATGTTCTACAGTCATGTTGTATTAAGTCAGGGTTATTCATAATAAATACCTTCTACATCACTACTACTCATAGTACCTCAGGCCAGTAAGAGTCACTTTACCTCAACCTGGATATAAGAGAAGCAGGGAAAATTCGAGCAACACATTAAGAGTATGTGATGAGCCCCACCTTTATGAGGCGAACATTTATTCAGGATTTTCTCTTTTGCATAGTCTCTGTTTGTTTCAAGAATTTACGGTGGATTCATCCACATCTTATTTTCTCTACTACTTTGATTCAGACCTTGAGACGCTTTCATCCTTGGTTTGGTGATTATTGATCTTCCTATAAGATCTTTGGGTTTTCTTGTCCTTCCATAAACAGCTTTCTTCTGATGATGGAAGAGAGTCGTTTTTCATGAGAGATGCTTATGAGAATTTGCCCCTTTGTAGAAGTTCATTTATTAATATAGGTGGGAATTTTCATGGGTGCATTTGCATTATTTTGGTTGCTTAGAGCAATTAAAAATTTCTCTGGTTTCCCAAATATCTAGAAACTATGAAGAGTGATTTTATCTTATATGACATTCATTACCAATTTTCCAAGAACAAGATGCAATAAATATATTTAAGATAAAATATAGAAATAACTGAATCACTTTGACCATTCAGAAGTTCAAAAGAACTCTCAGGATCATTACTTCAGATATGAATTCCCAATCCATGGCTTTAAGACATGGAAGTTGCTTTCGGTATACTTAAATCTTCACGCATTCTAGAATATTGCGTATCCTGAACGTTGCTTTCTGGAAAGGATCCATTATATCCATGGTTATTTATCATTTATCTCTTTCTCATTAAATATGGATTTAGAATGTATGAAAATTCTAATTATTTTAGCTCTTTTTATCTTAGGTTTTCCTTCGTGGTGACTATCATGTACATGTTTAACACTATGTCTATGTCCCACTTAAGTTCTGTATCTGTATCTATCTCTACCTCTATCGACTTATCTACCTAT